GGGTGTGGCGCGGGGAGCTCGGGTCTCGCGGTCGCGGCCGCAGGACCTCCGTGCTTCGCGTGCGCTTCTCCTTCCGTGCGGAGCCGGGATGGGGCGCAGCGGGCCGGGGTCCCCGCGTCCTGATCCGCCGCCCGGCCCACCCCACCCGGCGATCCGGCCGAGGCGTGGCCAGGGTCTCTGCTAACGTTTCCAGCCCTTCTCCAGGCGGGTCGGGGCAGGGAATTGGGTGGGCGCCTGGACCCAGAGTTCCTAGCGGTGGGCTGAGTTCCGGCCCCAGAAGAGCTTTGAGGTCCTGCCAAGCCCCCTGATTAACTTCGGGGTCCCTTCACTTTCCTGTGTCATCTTCAAAAGCAGAAAACTGGCTTTGGTTAAAGGGACCTGGGACCCTTTGAAACTTTTAAAATGCAGGTCCTGTTATCTAGCGTGGGAATCGTTGCTCCAGGGAGGCTGGATTCCGCGTTCACTCCCAGCTCCCGAGGGCACCCAGACACACCCAGCCCCACCTGGGCCTCCGGGCAGAGCTGAGGTCCCGACCGTCTGGCCCTGTCTGGCTGCGGTGTGAGGCTGCACCCTCCCTGGCTCAGCTCCTTGAGGCACGCTGTGAGGACGGAATGAGCTGTGCAAACGTGAGGTCTGCAGCTCATCAGTGAAAGGTAGAACTGCTGTCCGCGGTGACTTCCCCCAGGCGCTTCAAGGTGAGCAGGTGCGGATGCAGCGCCGGGGTCTGCCGAGCCCCTGGCGCTCCTTGGTGTCCCGCGTGCGCCGTGGGCTGCTGCGGCCAGGAACGCAAGGAGGATTTGGGCTGCGCCGAGAGGGCGCGGGGGTGTTCAGTCTGTCGTGTGGGCTCCATTCTGAGTGACGCTGCCCGGCCTGCGCCTGCACAGGAGGGTGTGGGCAGGTCCACTCCGAGCACGGGCTGAGTCCAGGTGACGGGGCGGAGCAGGCTAAACATCAACCCGCGAGCTCCAGCGCACACCGGTCTGGAGGGTCCTGGGTGGAAGGCACTGACCTGGAGCAGATGCTGAGAGCGCACGGAGGTGGGGAGAGGAAAACACCCTGTGCCCACTCTACCCGGCTGTGGCAGGACGGTGACCCATCCCTAACCTCTGAGCTTTGGTGTGCTCAAGCGGAACGTGGTGATCTTGCCATTACTTCGCGTTATTCGGAGCTGACACTCTTCAAGGGCACGCGAAGCGCGGGGGAAGACTTGGTTACCTATAAAACCCTCTCCACCTGAGTGCAGCGGGCACTCAGCCAAGGCGCAGCCCTCACCTGGCTCCTTCTCTGGAGTGACAGGCGATGCTCACCTAGACTCGCGTAAAGGGGATTTATAACTTCCACGCATGCGCTAGGAAACCGACCAAGAGGTTTGAACCACTCCCCTGGTTTAGCCTGGAGTTCAGAACGTATGGACTCGCACTTGGGCCCTGGAGGAGGAAAGGGCCGCTTGGAGAGCTCCCCACATTCCTACCTTCTCAGGAGAGGCCCCCACCCTTTCTCTCCAGCTTCCTGCTCAGGCTGGCCTCTACCTAGGCTAAATCGAGTCTTAGAAAGCATTGTTGTGTGGAAGAGATACTGAAAATTGCTTTGTTATTTTGGGACACCAGAATGCAAACTGAAAACTCTGGGAGGAGCTTGTTCTCTTGGTATGAAATTATTTTTCAAAACCTCTTTTAAACTTGGAAGAATTTGCTTAGAAATTCTAACTTGGTCATGCGTGCATTACCGGGCTTGCAGACGTACAAATGTGCTGAACCGCTGAGTACCAAGAGATCTGCTGTAGATTTTCTCCCCCACGTGGGTTTCCAAGAAAAGACGGTTTTGACTTAATCCCTGCAGAGCAAGAGAAAATGCCACCTGGCACACGGGCACCAGCAGTCAGCAAAAGAACTCAGCTCAGGAATTGGGCACCTAGAGGGATATTGCTCTCTAGGGGCCAGGCCAGGCTGCTGGTTACGAGGCCTGGGTCGGGCCAGACATTGCCATTCACGCTGGCCTTGAATGCTTGGCTTGTGAAGAGCTTTGGGGTAGTTTTCTTTTTATGATCACTCATTCATTCCTTGCTTCAGAGAATTTGTCTCTAATCAGCTGACCTGAATATTTTATCAGCCATTCTGTGCTCGTAGAGAGGAGATTGAGGTTCCTTAGCCCCAAGTGTGACTGTCTCTGCGGATCTGGTCTGAATTCTCCCTGCCGGCCCATCCGCTCTGGGTTGGGACTCCTGCAGCCAGCGTGAAGTCTGGGTGTCTGGATTCCAGCAGCCTCTAAGGGGACCCTGGTGACTCAGGAGCAGATACATAGACCGAGGAATGTGTCCATGTGTCTACGCTGTCTGCTCTTATCTCCTGCTCGCCATTCAAGTGTCTGAACAAATCCAAAGCCCAGCCACTGCTCTTGTACTCCTTTCCGCTGTTGCTGTTTTCCTTTGATACATAAAATAGGGACTTGGAATAGAGTCATATAAATTCTCATGCTGTGTCTTGATTTGATGCTTCTCTCGCTTTCTCTTTGATACAAATCTAGGTTAGTCTAAGTATTCTGTGAGCACGAGTTCAGGGGGCACTTTGAAGTGATGGTTTGCTGAGTTCTGCAAAATCCTTCAGCTTCTTAGGGTGTCAAGACAACCACCTGTTGTTTTGGGGGGTTTTTGTTGTTTTGTTTTGGTTTTTTGGTACTGGGAGTCGAACTCAGGACCTTGCACTTGGCCACCCAGGTGCTTGTGCCACTGAGCTATATCCCCAGCCTGACAGCCACTTGTTAAGTTAAAATCACCACTTTTGTGTGTTATGAAGCACAATGGTTGGATGCATTCAGGACAAAGAAGGGGAGAGGGTTTCATATATAGGGGCCCTGTGGTGCTTTGGGTTTTTTTTGTCTTTTTGAGACAGGGTCTCGCTGTGCAGTTCATGCTGCCCTGGAGCTCACTTTGTAGCCCAGGCTGACCTTGAACTCCACAACAATCCTCCTGCCTCAGCCTCCTGAGTGCTGGGATTACAGGTGTGTGCCACCACGCCCGGCTCTCCCTGTGTTTTATGGGGCCACACTTCCCTCCCCCTTCCTTCCTCCCTTCCTGCTAACCTTGGCGTGAGACACCAGTGGAATATCCCTTCACCGACATTGACTGCTCAGGCAGCCTCTCTCCCCCTTGCCAGGCAGGGCTCCGTAGGTGCCAGCCCTCCCTGTGCCCATGGGACCTCAGCCCTTCTCACAAGGGACACATAGGTTCCGCAGTTGGCTGGTCGGCGTCTTGGGGCCCGGGTTGGGGCCTTCCTCAGTCTCAGGCGGCACAGAGGCTGCGGGAACACTTGCGGGCGAACAGACCGCTTTCCCCGTGACTTACAGCAGAATTCCTGTACTGTCTGTATCACCCTTTGGTGTTCTTTCTTTGTAATATGAAAAACTTAAAAATAATCCCTTATGTCAGCTTTGGGAAACACAGCAGGCTCGATTACAATCCTTACTTCAGCATTAAAGATAAGGAGCTTTAATAGTGTTGTTATTCATGTATTTGTTCAGGTAAGGGAAACAGAGGACCCTGGTTCTGGGTGGCGTCCCCAGCCCGTGGGCACAGGGACTCGGTTCTTCTCTTCCTCTGGGGGCACTGGAAGGGAGTGTCTGGCACCTATGCTCCGTGTGCACTTCGATTTCCTTTTTATTGAACAAAAATACCTACGCTGAGAGCTCCGTCCTTCCCTCCCCGGCAAGATTGCCGTGATGAAGGAAGTGTGCGCGTTCTCTTGAGTAGCTAATGTCTGTCGCCCGGAGAAGGAGAAAATTATTTTTTGGCCTCCGTGCCGATGTGTACAGAACATGTGTTCTGAGTAGCTGCTCTTTCGCTGCCTCTTTTTCCAGTTGAGGTGCAACATCAACTATTTTAATTAATACTGTGTCACCAAAAGGGATTGAAATGGCCAATTGAATTCTGCCAAGATAGAGTCTTTTGATGAAAACATATCTTTATTGATTGTGGATGAAGAAAATCATTCTTAAAATGAAATCCAGAGAAAAATCATATCCCTCGGAGAAAATTTCTGAGTGGCAGGCCGAGATTAACATCCTAAAATTGAATTTGTGCTGCAAGCCCTTGATGCAATCAGCAGCTGGGAGATGGGAGTGCCTGGCCGCCTCCCTCCGACTGTGGTGAGCTACTGTGCAGAATGAAATCAGTGGTGCTGGTGTCCCGCCTGGTGTCCCTCCTCCGGGAGGGCGAGTGAGGTGTCACCGGAGGCCAGCTTCTTGCTGGTCAGAGGGTTGCATCGAAGGCAGCTGCCGGCCTCTCCTGTGCCCTTGGCTGTGGCAGGAGGGAATCTCTGTGCCCCGGGACAGCAGTCCTTGGTGTCTTGGACGGTGACTTCTCTGGTCAGTGGGAACCCAGGGGACAAACAGGACCCCTCCCCAGGACTGCGCTCGGGATAGGCCCCAAAGTGCCACCTGTCCCTGGTTTCTGC